TAGTTTTCAATTTTTTTGAGATACTCATGGAGGTGTTGGGTGCACTTTTGGAAAACCAGTCATTAAAACGTACCTTGGGCAAAACTGCCCGACAGTGATGTTTTCATTTAGGCCATGTCAGACATACAGGGTGACAATTTAACACTTAGACAAAAAATACTATGAAGAAGATCTCATTTATTTATTGATTTATTAAGAAATTGCTATTTTATTACATAAGGAAAATGTTCATGTAGTTGCCTTTTTGGCTGAGCAACTACCATTTATGGTGGAAGGAATTTTTATTACTCACAGAAAAAATTAATCTCAGATATAGTTACAATGGGGTTATTTACAATATTAACAGTGTCGAAATAGGCCTAAAGCCTTTATTTACAGTTATGAGGTTTTATTTACATAATACATATCTGATGCATAATAAGTTTTGGTGTATTGTACAGTAGTAGTAGCGTTTCACCGATTATCCAGGGCAACAAATTAAGATTTGATTATTTCTTTTTGGTAATTGGTGTCCCCTGGGGAGGCCGTCCACCATGATAGGTTATGATCCCATTTGTTGCACGATTACACTATACAAGGAAAGTGTAGCAGTGGGGCACTACCGAATACCGGCGAGAAATTGTTGAATTATAATTTGCTGATGGGTGTCAGCTACACAACGTGGTTTCAAGTGAATATTCAGCCTAATGGGGCTTTATTGGCTTTAATAGAATAACTGAATGCTCTTCAACCTTGCCAGGCAAAATTGTTTTTGTGTTTTCCAGTCAAGTGATCATCAACATCTTATTTATTGAGGTACAAGAGGGGTATAATTTTAAAAGGTTTTTCTAGGTAGACTGTCTAGACTTATCTGCATAATTTATTTATTTAATTATTGTCACTCTGGAGACTCTATTTTGAATATGTGTATAATAAAGAAATAGGTACCTATTTTACAATATGCAATAGGATTTATTTATGTTGTATTAATAATCCAACAGGTTACATATTTAAGGTCTTCCCAATAGTATTTTTTGTCTAAGAAATATTCCTAATTGCTTTTTTTCAAATTGTCACTCTGTATATGCTTGACGTACACTTAAGTCAATCATAACTCATAGGATTTTAAAACAGAACATATCAATATACTTGGTTTGGGCAAATTTGACTATTTACTTTTTTTTTGATGGTTTCAAATCAAACATTGTATTATACTTAATCTTTTCGGAAGAGGTGAATAATAACAATATAATCTATCATTTCAGCCACTCTTTGATAAAAATTAAGACAAAAACACGCGTGGCCCTGTGGGATATTTTCTCAATATACACGTGGCATGCAATGTGTTGAAGGATTTATGAGAATTTGGTCAATAGTTAATAATAGAAGGCCTAGGAGCCGAATTAATTATCTAGAAAAATCTAAACACTTTTTCTCAAAATTCATTTGTGAAAATCTGAAGCTTTGTATTGACATGTTCTTCCAGCATTTTACTTGTATTACATTCTCTTAACACAAAATCATTACAATTATGTGTGTTATAATCATGGACTTCACTAAAAATCTCAACTCTATCACAGACATAATGCCCCCCTGTAAGCAAACAGAATCCAGAAGTCGTCGGATGAATCTTAAAGAGCCTATAATAAGGACCTTTTTTTAGACGGATTTTTGACAAGTAGGTAAGTAGGTACAGGATGTTTTTTTATACATGGTGTGATAACAGTTAATAGTAACCTGAAAAACCATTTTGAAGGCATCCCAATAAGCATCATTTTCCCATACACGATATTCATTTTTTGTTACTTAATAATGAAGAGATTACCATTATGTTAAGGGCAATCTCTTCATTATTAAGTAAGCTTCAAACTGTGATATTGAATTGCAGTTTGTAGCATTATAAATAGAATCCTTACTTAAATTATAAATACTTTATTTTATTCCTTCTTTAGTATTTTAGAAGAAGCCATTACACCAGAAGTTTTGCTGTTTCTCGACTTCGACGCCATTGCGAAACTTTTACCAAAATAAGGGGAAAGATTCGTAATGGTGAGAAAATTGGCGGAAATCAGAGAAAAACAAAGTCTAGAGAAAAAAATCTTTCTCCTAATCTTCCCATTATTGATGCGATACTTAATATTTCCACCTTACCATCAGAACAAGCTGAAGCATCATTGGTGAGTATTTAAATTATGAATAAAAGTATGTACGTCAATGACTTTATCTTATTCTGCAATGTTCCAGATAGAACTAGTAGACATCGAGGGCAAAACCTACTCTATTTTAACGACCACCGAAAACACAACAAATAATGACAATAATTTCTGCGAGTGTTTCCAAGAAGAGTATGATAATAATAATTATGACACTCATAACCCAGTGTAAGTATAATTACCCATATGTTTATTCATTTATGATTAATTCATTTTTATAATTTGTAGATTGAATTTGCACAGCATAAGTCTCATTGAAGAACTTCTGGCATCATCTATCAGTGTTGCTTCAACACCAAAGAGATCTGTTCTAGATGATTTGTATAAGTACCTACATTTTTTGTACTAAAACTATGAAAAAATATTCTTTGTGTATCATTCAACATCCAAAGTCACAACTTTTATTATGAGTTGAAGTCTATGTAGCGCTGATTTATATCATAAAGTTTCCAGTAATACGTGCTAAATCTTCAGTATCAATAGAAAATGCAGGTATATTTTTGAGAAAGTCAGGATGACTTGACTATTAATGCACGTATGTTATCTTAAGCTCTCAATGGAATTAAGATAAGCTCAAGGTACTTTGAGAATTTCAACTGCAACACGTCTTTATAATAAAGACTCATAATTTACCTCATATCCGAAGTTCCACACCCTATATTCGCCTTGGTGAGCCTTCAAACAACCTATGTATGTATTCTTGCTCCATGTTGTTCCATATTTCGTTTATTGCATCTTGAAGTTCATTAAGGGTTCTGAATGGAGCTTGATGGTGCTGGATCGCCCAACCTAAGTGGTCCCATACGTGCTCTATCGGATTGAGGTCTGGGCTGCAAGCTGGTCAATTCAATGTAGCAACATTCACCTCCTCAAGATATTCCCGCATTATCCTTGACAGCGTGCGGTCTGGCGTTATCGTGCATTAGCACAAAATTTTCGCCCATAAAAGGGCCGTATGGAACCACATGAGGTTCTAGGATATCCCTTATGTATCGATCAGCCGTCATCCTACCACCATTAACAGCTACTAACTCCGTTCGTCCATGGAAAGATATCCTCCCCATACCATTATTGACCACCCTCCAAAACTTTCCCTTTCACGAAAGTTGCATTGGTGATATCGCTCGCCTGGTCTTCGCTTTACTGGCATACGTCTGTCTGAAGAGAACAAACAAAATCTGGACTCGTTTGTAAAGAGGATATTGGACCATTCTTCTAGACCCCATCCGGCATGGTCTCTAGCAAATTGTAAATGGCAAACTCGATGTTCTCTGGTAAGACGCGGGCCATTGGCTGGAATCATGCTCTCGAAGACGATTACGTACGGTCTGTACGCAAATCTGAACATTTCGGGCAGCCAAAAGGTCATTTTGGAGCATTCGGGCAGTGCAGTGTCGTGTTCTTAGGATTGAAAGTCGTAAAAAACGATCATCTGGAGCTGTTGTAACTCTCGGACGACCTTGGCCTTCTCTTCTAGAGTACCGTCCACTCTCCCTATGCCTTTGAATGACTCTTGAAATGGTACTCTGCTGTACACCCAATAAATTCGCCACGTACCTTTACTCTGACAGCCTCTTCATCGGTCGAATTGCGAGTTAAACGTTGTGGACCAGCCATAGTATACACCTCTATCGTACAACTTAATATCAAAGCAGAAAACATAGAAATGAACAGCATAATTGCAAAGTGGAATCTATGCCTATCCACATTCTCCTGAAAAAAAGTAAATAAGAACCTAACAAAAGAATAAACGACATGTTTTTGACTCGAGTTTATCAGTTAAAAAATGCCCATTCAAGGAATACTTGAGAAATTTAAAAAAAAAAATTACTGTAGCCAAAATATTTAAAAGCATTGGTGATGCGATAATTTTTGTGCGGTGTGTATTTTACATTAAATAAATCACACACTTCGCGTTGACGTCTCATTTTGTCTCCACATCCAAGTAGTATCAAAATTTCGATACGTTGCCTTTCCGACAATACCATTATGATTTCAAAATTCTTTTGGTTTCCGACACAATAATATTCACTACACTTCCGATTTACAACTAAAGTAAACAATTCAACTAAACAGTCTGGTAGATGAAAAAAGAAGAAAAAAATACCTAATTTTTTTGCTAGTAATAAAGGTTCAAATTCTTTATCTTATTTATTAATTTTTCGCAATCCTTTTACTATACTTCAGTAGTTGATTTATAAGGCCCTAAAAACCTGGTTATTGAAAATATGAATGTTTATTTGGTCTAGCCGAATAGAATTTTTCATGAGCTTTTCAACGAGCCCCCATAAGACATATTATGTTTCCATTTAAAAAAAAAAGTTGGTGTAGCTGGGGGTTGGATTTTTTTTTTTTTTTTTTACCGAAAAATGTGAAAAAGTCAAAATCAGTTAACGGGTTTCACAGTTTTTTTGAAAAAATTACTTGCTGAAAAACTATGAATTTAATTTCAGACTTTTGGCTACCCCTGTATATATATACCCTATCACTTCACTAGCTCCTGCCGAAGCCAGGTCCTATCAAATGACTGGCGGGATACGAGTGAAATAAAAAGTGTCGCCATAATATGGAGGTTTGACTGATTATATATTGTCTTTTTATTTCCGCTACGGTTCACCAAGACAGTTCATACCTTTGTCCCATTAGAACGCTTCATTTCATTAAATCTAAACCTTGTTCTAGGAAGATTCTCACCCCTTATCAAACTAGAAACCACAAACGAAGAGTTTAGTAAGTATAGAAGTCACAGTCTTAATTGACATGGAAGCCCCGGAAAAAGTAAAGACTTTAATTAAAATTGAGACTTACCTAACTTATCAATTTTATCCAGTCTATTGATTTTATTGTCGTTTAAAATAGAATCTACCATTTGCATAGATTCAGTTAAACTAGTAGGCTCAGAATTTCTAGGCGAGGTCATATCACTGTAAAAAATATTATAAAGAAACCATTGTTGGACAAATTACATATAGCTTACCTATCAAAACTAGGATAACCATCATCATTCTCACCTTCATCATCTGAACTGTCATTATCTTTTTCCTGTCCTAGACTTTCGAGTTTTTCGAGTTTTTTGGCCACTTTTGCTGAAGACTTTAGTTTATCCTTTTCCTCATCAGTCAACTCAATATACCTGAGCAACCTGACCTCTCTGTTGCTAAGCACAACACTCTTAGCAGCTTGAGCCAGCTTAGCCCTGAGTTCCTTAACTTCAGTTTCCGTTTTCCTTTGCCTTTTCTTCAATTTTACATCGTCCTGGTTAATATTCAAGTACACTTGCTCCTCACATAGCTCCATCAATAAAATCCTATTTTCTTCTTTAATTGCATTTACCATTGGAAAATATATTTTATCACTAACTAAACTCAAAACATCAGCTGAAGCGTATAAAATCATTTCTCTAGTCAAAGGTCTTCTTGACCAATATTTCTGGTCTCTCCGGTAAATATTTTTCAATTGATCCTTCATGGGATTAACAGGGCCACCATAAGCTTCACATAAAGCATTTAAAGCTACACTTTTAGCCTTGTAAACTGGTCTGCCAGTATTTTGAAAGGTAAGCACAGCATGCGCAGCTTGGGTATCAAAAACACAATTCAACACTATGGAAAATTGTCGGTGGAGATTCACTGAATCGTTACGGCAATCGTGAACAATTTTTATAACTTCAGGGCTTTCCAAGATTTGTCTTAGGCCAGACTCGATCATTTGCGGACAAGTTATTAAATCGAACACGTAAGCAAAACCCGACATGGTGGCTATTTGTAGGAGTGTCAACTGGCCTTTTACACCAAGATTTATGCCTTCACAGTCGAATCCAATGATCACTTTGTCTTCTGTGAAAGGCCAGTTGTTAGAGTTTTGGGAAGAATTTCGAGGCTAAAATAAAATAAATAGATAAATTAAAGTCCGTGGCATGGTTCTTGAGCTACGATACTGAATAGACAGAGGGGAGGGACAATGAGCTATTGCTGCGTTGTCATATCAATAATATTTACTAATACATGAAAATTGCAATAAAATTTCCTTCATTTTCAACTTTAGTAGATATAATGAACAGCTCTCACTCCTTCGAATTTTGACCGTAAAGCAGTGCAAGTTTTTTGAAATAAATTGTGAAGTATGTAATTCATGTCTCTTAGGGCTGGTTTCTTCATCTTCTGATAAACTGTTAGGTATGCAATCTGACGGATAAAAACGCAATCAGTAATCTCATTGGTCAGATAGTTATCCGCTGACCAATAGAATTAGAAAATGGTAAGTTTATCTTGCTAGTTACCAGGAAGTTTATCTGAAGATGAATAAACGGGGCCTTAGACCAATTACATAATTTATATCGCGTAATAATTTTTTTCTCTCGAAGTTTAAGCTCGCTTTCTCTCACACTTGATTAGACTTGATTCATTCCAATTTTTTAATAAACCGACTGTTAAGCATGTGTAGGTATATACTGCACTTATGTAAAGTAGAGATATGATTAAAAGTTTAGCTTATTAGCTAACAAAAAAGTAGCTGCACTACTCTGTAGCTAGCTACTGATTTTTTTAAGTACAAAAACTGCATTTACCTTGTTAAATTTTTTATTCATAATCTCGTCAATGACCATTTGACACTCTCTGGTGCTGCAAATTACTCTAGTGTTTTGAAATAGGTTGGTTTTCCAACTGTCACTGTACAGTTGTTGGTTTAACATTGTTTGACGATCCCTTCCTGAAAAATTGTTTGCAAATTAGTCAATAGCAGTACATTGATAGGAGTAATGAAGAAACTACAAAAACATCTATGATTAGAGAGAAGCTATGACTATTGACGGATGATTTAAGAGACAAAAAAGGCCAGGTATAGAAACAAAACAACAAAAACTCACCATAGAAAAAAAAAACAGTTCATAAAGTCAAAATGCATTTGGAAAAAAAACTAACAAGATCACATCTTCACAGGAAGAAATAATAAGAAAACAAAAAGAACATGAACATGGAGTGTACTTGGCATTATTAGAATTTGGAACTGCATTTGACACAGTTCCAAGAGGAAAATCAAGAAAAAAATTGGTAAATGAAAGTCGACTGAAATACCATGAGAATAATAAAACAGTTATATTAAAAGTAATCACAAATAGAAGTTTTTAATTTTTTTCTGAAGGAAGCCTGAGCAGGAGCTCTGTAACGGATAGAGATCATTATCTCTATCGCTATGACGCTGTCTTGTCTCTTTTTGAAATCAATACAAAGGGGGCGTCAATAGAGATAGAGAAAATATCCCTATTTGTTACAGAGTTCCAGCTCTGGGATCTTACTGTGTAACAGCTGGCAATTGCAGCTGCCTGCTCTCTCCAAAAAAAACAGTAATAGAGGATGCGGATAGAGATAGATATTGATTGCTATACATTACAGAATCCCTTGCTTTAAAGAAGATTATACGTTTATATTAATGTGAACCCAAAAAAATCTAAAATGAGATTTGCAAATCCTTTGAGTACCAAAATAAGCTAGATGATGCAATAACAAATTAGGACCTACAGAAAGAGTAATAATTAGCAAAACAAAATATAGTAAAAGGGCTGGTATCTATGTATGTATGTTGGAGTTGGAATCGAATCCGTTATCGATCAAGGTAAATCGACTTCACTATACCATCCCCACGCATTTGTCAAGAATAAACCATCTCCTTTACCTGTATTCTCCTGCAACGTCTTCAAAACCAAATTATTAATCCTTTGTTTCAAGCTCTGATTATAATTGACAGGTTTTCCCAATGGTACTGTATTTGGACCCTGCGCTTCATCTTTTATCGCCACTTCAGGTTCTTGTTGCTGCTGTTTGCCTATTCTAAAATTGACAGATTTTTTGTCTTCGTTTTGAATTGTCACAGGTGGTTCTGGACTAAGAGATTTTTGCTGAGCTTCGGCTTGTTTTTGTTGCAATTTTGGTTGTTTTAATCTGTCGCTTATTGATCGAGGACTAGGCGGTGTATTTTGGACCGGAGACGGACTTTTTTCAACTTTTTCAATATGTGTAGCAGCAGGGATTTTAGTTTCAACTTGCACCTTTTCTGGTAAATTATTATTAGACAGATTTTTAGCATTTTTCATTTCTTCATTATTTAACAATTCACGTTCTCTTGCTTTGTTCTCTTTAATCAAATCCACCTGGGCGATGATATGTTTTTGATTAATTTTTGGAGTTTGTATAAGGGTAACTAGATTGGCTTGGATATGAAAACTATCAGAAAACAGCCTTAGGCAACTAGAGAGCTGGGTTGGAGTATTGAAGAGGTTTGACCACAAACGCTCTGGAAGATTACAACTGACTATTTGGAAGAGCTGTTCAACTAAAATTGGACCCTACAAGAAAAAAATTCTGTTAAATTATTTATTTAAAGCATGTTTGGAATATTTACCTTAACTTCAATGCACTGAGCTAAAAAATCCAACAATGTTTGTGTTTCTTGAGGATCAATTTGCACTTCTGGATGAAAATGTAGTTCCATGTTGGGAAATTGTGCACGAACCTAAAAATTAACCATTTACAAAAATTGACTATTTACGGTTTTCATTATTTAAGCTTACCTGTTGATAGTTGGTCAAAACAACAGTTTCCTTTTCATCGTCAACAATAAAAGTTTCAGGATGTTTGCCTAGAAACTCCCTGAACTCGTGAAAGTGTTGTCCTGAGACGTGGCGAACTTCTGGAGAGGCTTGAGACCTAATTGAATAATTATCCAATTTATGCCTGTTGTTTTTCTAAATATTAATGTTCTTACCTGTGTCCCAAAAGACTTCTGATAGGTACTTCGGTGCCTTCTTCATACTGAAGCAATTTTTCCGAAAAATATTCAACTGCTTGAGTATTGTAATCTTTACCGCCTAAAAGCAAGAAACAAGAATTGAGAGGGAAAAATCAGTTTGTTTTGCATAAGTGACAAAATTAAGACAATTGCCCTGATATGTATCACAAAAACTGGAGCAAGAACTATCAACTTCTTATACTCTACAAAATGGCATTTTTGGTTTTTAGAAATGAAATTTGATATTTGAGATATTCAAGTTATTTGAGATATTTAGATGTTGTACTGGATGCTCGACTGGATCAATGCGAAATGGTTGAGACTAAAACCGTTTCAAAGATCTTTGGGAGTAGCATCTGTAATTGAATTTTTTGGATTGTTTCTGAAGTAACTTAATACCACACCTTCTCGGATCCTTCTTCTTTCAGGAAAACTTAAAATTGCATCAAGGGAAATACTTCTATCGTGTCTAGCCAAGTATCATCGTTTAATTTTTTGTGCGTTTTCTTTACATTTATAAAATAAGGTGTCAATCTGGAAGCTTTCTTCCAGTGAATACATATTCCATTTTTAGTAAAAAGCTAGATTTTGACATGCCATTGTAACTTTTACATTTTACAGATCTTTGAGATTTCCTTAAAATAAGAAATATATTATATTAAATGCATCTACTTGTATACAAAGTCTAAATAAAATAAATTTAAAAATGAACAGATTACCTATAAACAATCATCCAGTGTGTGGCATGCTCAAAATTAGGTTGTCAGAAAAAAGTAATCCACTTAATATAAAGATCTCTCTAATCTCTAATAAATAGGATTTTAGAGCTTTGCGGAATTTAGGAAGAGATGCTATAGACTTGATTACTACTGGTGAATAGTTGTGCAATGGCCTTTCTCAAAATATTCGTCGTAAATTAATCTGTGGTAAGTCAATTCGTCGTACGCTACGTCGTAACGTCAGTTCGTCGTATAGGTACGTCAATTTATCATGAAGTCAATTCGTCGTATACGTTAATTCGTCATAAAGTCAATTAGTTTTAAAGTCTGTTTTTTTTTAAAGATAATTCCCCAAGTCAAAAATTTAGTAACTATGTTGGCAACACAAGCCTCTTCTACATAAAAAATTTAAAAGCTTGACAATTTTCCATTGTATTGCCAACATAATATCATTTTGACTTTTATCTTTAAAAAAAAAAACAGATTTTATACGTCAATTCGTCATAACGTTGATTCGACGTATACATCAATTCGTCGTATGCTTCAATTCATCGTAAAGTTAATTTGTCGTATACGTAAAAACGTCGACTACCTCGTATTGGGGGAAAATTAGATCAAACATCCCTGTCAGCATAGAAGCAACTGAATCTTATGCATCCTGGTGACTCATGTGGTAGCCAACGTGTTAATAGTTTGCAATTTTAATCAGCCATTATCAAACTTACTGATAATAACGCAGTTAGTTTGGGTTAGATGCGAAGATGTGAATTGCAAACTAACCCAAACTAACCGGGTTATTATCGGTCAGTTTGGTAATCTCTGATTAAACAGAAAAAGTGCAAATTTATACATTTCAACATTATACAGGGTGTCCTTAGATAAACTGACACATTTTGCAGGTAAATATCTCAAAAACGGGAAAAGATAATGAAATTCGGTTTGTTCTGGGAAAATAAGGATTTTTCAAAGTTTTTTATTCACATTATTTCCGAATTCCAAAATTTGCTGAAATTTGGCTTTACAAACATGCGATTTTTTGAAATAAAATGACTGCCTTATTTTTAATGAAACACCCTGTATATTTTGTCATCGTCAGAAAGTCTGATTTTTCTACTTTACAAAAATTGATAAATAATTTATGTTTAATACTTTTAATAACTAATTAGCGCATATAATAGTTAACTAATAATACAAATATTATAATTTTTTTTTGGCCAGTCGATGGTACACTCTTCAACAAGGTGCAATTTTTACGATTCAATTTAATTATAAGTGGAAAAAATTATACATTTTTGTAGAGTAGAAAAGTCACGCGTTCCGAAGATGCCAAATATACCGGATGTTTCATCAATAATAAGGCAGTATGTAATTTTTTCAAAAAATCGAATGCCTGTAAAACCAAATTTCATGATTCGTCAATCAGGCCTATGATGTATCATTTTCTGTTATTTTAACAGCAACGTTAAGTTATCTGTCACTGTTTATTCTACACGTAAAAATAGAGACAGGTATAGATTTTGAGCTATAACACAACTGTTAAAATAACAGGAGAGGATACATCATAGGCCTGAATATCATGAAAAAAAACTTTAAGAAAATCCTTATTCTTCCAGAACAAACCGCATTCCGTTATCTTTTCCCAATTTTGAGACATTTACTTGCAAAATATGTCAGTTTATCTAAGGACATCCTGTATACCTGAAATACGACGAATTACCAATACGATAAATTGACGTAGGTATACGACGAATTAACGTGTTAATAGTTTGCAATTTTAATCAGACATTATCAAACTTACCGATTTCGATTATAGCCCGGTTAGTTTGGGTTAATTTGCAATGTTATGTCTGATTAAAATTGCAAACTAACCGGTTATTATCGGTAAGTTTGGTAATGTCTGATTAAACGAGAAAGTGTAAATTTATACATTCTTTTTAACATTATACCTGAAATAAGACGAATTGACGTATAGGTACGACGAATTATACCTTTACGACAAATTAACAATACAACAAATTGACATATACGACGAATTGACTTTATAGTCTAGGAGGCAGTGACGATTTTCGGCACTTATTTTCCCAGTCAGACAACATTGATAGAATTGTAACGTTACAAATTCTAAGCAAAATTCATATATTTTTAGGGGGGGTTTTCCGATGGGTTGAGGCGCAAAATGCGTTAGAGCTTATGAAAACACGGCCCTTTTTTTCCAGTGATAAAAATAGGTCTACTAATGAGAAGTATACTGAAGTTACGTAAAAAAATAGTCTATGTTCTATTGTAGTACTTAAATGTGAAATATTTATGACTGGGAAAATAAGTGTACTTGTATTTTTGATTGATCTTGTGAACCCATCCGAAAATTTTTGCGAAACTCAAATATTCTTGTTTTATATCACCAAGAGAACAAACTATTTAATATACACCAACTGAGAAAATAAGTGCTACAAAATTGCCTCCTGGACTATTAGGACGAATTGACGAATACGACGAATTGACTCTACCACGAATTAACTTTACGACGTATTGACTTACGACGAATTGGCATAGACTATTTCGACGAGGTTTGGGCCAATGGGATTTTGCATGGGGGTTGGAAATGGTGTTAGAATAGTAACCAATTAGTTTCATGGCAAACTCAAAGTCCGAGTTAGAAACAGACACGAAAATCTGAATATTTATGCATTTTTATTTGTTAAGGTTAGTTTTTTTGACTTCGACGGGGTTTGAGTCAATGGGATTTTGCATGGGGGTTGGAAGTGGCGTTAGAATAGTATCCTATTAATTTCATGGTAAGACTCGAAGTCCAAGTTGGAGAAAAAAATGAAAATTTGAATGAGTATTTATGCATTTTAATTTGTTAAGGTTAGTTTTTTGTACTTCAACGGGGGTTTGAGTCAATGGGATTTTGCATGGGGCTTAATAGCCCTATTTTGCAGGACACACAATAGGTGTAATTTATTGTTGGACACATTTCCCCACAGCAGTGTTAGGTATGACAGATGGGAATGTATTAGAGAATTGTAAATCATTTTGCGATCTAATATTGGCAAGAATTTTGCTACTCTGCCTAGGATACCTACTGCTGGCTAAGTCCGGCCAATCATCACTCTTGGAAATAACCATGTTACAAGATTTTTCTATATTTAAAGTTAATTTATGAAAGCATAACCCGCATAACCAGTTACTCACTGTCTCCAAGTCTTGCTCAATGGCATCTTTCATTTCAACCGGATTCCTACCAGAATATAAATATGGTTCTCCACATAGTAAAAGGTGTGGAATGGAGTTTATGTAGACCAAGAATAATGACGGTCCAAGGATAGAGCCTTGCGGGATACCATGCTGGATGTCTCCAATAGCACTCCTTTCAACACCGCAAGCAACAAACTTGGTTCTACCATTCAAGTAATCCCGAAACCACATCAGAACTGAACCACTTATACCAGACCTTTCAAGAATGGACAACAATACCTGATGGTTTACAGTGTCAAATGCTTTTTTTAAATCTAAGGGGACCAAAACACACCTGAACTTTTTATTCAATTCAAATGTTATTCAACAAATCTGTTGTTGCTGAAGCTGTGCAGCTGTTTTGCCTAAAGCCATATTGACGAGGGTACCAGAAACTGGTTGAAGTTAGAAAGGCATTCAGACGATTATTGACACAAGTCTCCAACACCTTTGAAATAGCAGTCAAAAGTGAGATCGGACGATAGTTGTTTACTGAGGTGCTATCTCTTCCCTTAAATAATGGAATGACCTTTGCCATCTTCAACATATTGGGAATGGTTGCTTCTCTGAATGTAGGGTTTCTGAGCATGCACAAGAGTGGAGATATTTCACAGCAAAAGTCTTTAATTATATCGATACTTAGTTTGTCGTTTCCTGGGGACTTGCCTGGTTTAAGATTTCCTATAACGTTGACTAGGTATTTCATTAATTGTTGCATTGTCCCAATTTCGTAAACTTACTATGTTTTGGTTTGCTTGTGGTACGTAGTTTGACGGTATAGCGCTTATGTTGTTTGCAAGAGTTGCTGCTACTCCAGAAAAATGATTATTGAAGCTATCAGCTACTTCAAGTGGCTCAGAAACCAAGGTGTTTGAGATTAAAAGTTTAGGAGTTTTACTGTTTCCTGCATTATGCTTAGAATTATGTATTATAGTGTTGAGTACATTCCACAGTTTTTTACTATTGCCCTCTGCCCTATTAACTTCACTGGTATAATATTCTTTCTTAGATATGTCTATGGCACTTTTTAATTCTTTTTGAGATGCTTTATATCTATTCAGTACAAGGTCACTGTTAGGGAACAATTTGAGTCAATGGGATTTTGCATGGGGGTTGGAAATGCTGTTAGAATAGTACCTTAATAATTTCATGGCAAGACTCAAAGTCTGAGTTGGAAACAAATACAAAAATCTGAACATTTATGCATTTTTATTTGGTAATGTTAGTTTTTCGTACTTCGACAGGGTTTGAGTCAATGGGATTTTGCATGGTGGTTGGAAGTGGTGTGAGAATAGTACCCTATTAATTTCATTGCAAGACTTGAAGTCCGAGTTGGGAAAAAATACGTAAATCTCAATATTTGGACATTTTTACTTGTTACGGTTGTTTTTCAAATTTCAACGAAGTTTGAGTTGGAAACGAATACGAAAATCTGAATATTTATGCATTTTTTACTTGTCAAGGGTAGTTTTTCATATTTCGACGGGGATTTGATTTGAGTCAATGGGATTTTGCATGTAACAAGATTTTTCTATATTTAAAGTTAATTTATAAAAGCAAAACCCGCATAACCAGTTACTCACTGTCTCCAAGTCTTGCTCAATGGCATCTTTCATTTCAACCGGACTCCTACCAGAATATAATAGGCATGTATCATCTGCATATAAATATGGTTCTCCACATAGTAAAAGGTGTGGAATGGAGTTTATGTAGACCAAGAATAGAGACGGTCCAAGGATAGAGCCTTGCGGGACACCATGCTGGATGTCTCCAATAGCACTCCTTTCAACACCGCAAGCAACAAACTGGGTTCTACCATTCATTTTGCATGGTGGTTGGAAGTGGTGTGAGAATAGTACCCTATTAATTTCATTGCAAAGTTGAAAATGGTGTTAGAATAGTACTCTATTAATTTCATGGCAAGACTCAAAGTTCGAGTTGGAAAAAAATACAAAAATTTGAATATGTATTTATGCATTTTTATTTGTTATGGTTAGTTTTTTGTACTCCGACAGGGTTTGAGTCAATGGGATTTTGCATAGGGGTTGGAAGTGGTGTAAGAAAATTACCCCATTAATTTCATGGCAAGACTCTAAGTCCGAGTTGGAAAAAAATATGAAAATCTGAATATTTATGCATTTTTACTTGTTGAGGGTAATTTTTCATATTCCGCCGGCGATTAAGTCAAAGGTATTTTGCATGGGGGTTGGAAATGGTGTTAGAATAGTACCCTAATAATTTCATGGCAAGACTCGAAGTCTGAGTTGGAAACAAATACGAAAATCTGAATATTTATACTTGTTAAAGGTAGTTTTTCATATTTTGACGGAGTTTGAGTCAATAGAATTTTGTTGGAAAAGGTGTTAGAACAGTACCCTATTAATTGTACATAAGGTCATGATATAAGGCTTACATAAACTCAGGCTTAATCAAGGGCTTGATTGGCTCACTATTTATTCTCGGCCATCAAATTATTTGTACAATAATAAAGCCCTATTTTATGTTCTTGGTATATAAATAAGTATCGTTTCATACTGTATTGTAGAACACACCCAAAAACTAGGGCTCGGAATTGTATTCGAATAATTCGAATATTCGACTATTCGACTATTCTAAATTCGACTTTTTTGTTACTTAGCAAATTCGACTATTCGAATATTCGACTATTCGAATATTCGACTATTCGACTATTCGAATATTCGACTATTCGAATATTCGACTATTCGAATATTCGGATATTCGATTATTCGAATATTCGATTATTCGAATATTCGACTATTCGGCTATTCGAATATTCGACTATTCGGCTATTCGAATATTCGACTATTCGAATATTGGACTATTTAACAATGCAATTACTCACTTTTTGATTTGAATATATATTGAATTTAAAATTTCAATTGTTTCGTTTCAATATTGGAATTTGAATGATACAATATACGAAGTGTTTTCGTTGAAAATCAGCTTTCAATAAATACAATGCATTTTTGTTCGTAATGTAAATTTTACCCCTTTGTAAATTTGCCATTTAGAAAACATCTAAATTATTTTAGTTTTTCTGACTCTGCGATACTCTGTATAAAAAATCAAAAATTTGCTTCGTCGTAGAACATTCTTTTGCGGGAAGTAGAAACTTTTATCAAGAATGATTGTTAGTCAAAAAACGTCATTTTTAAAGTCCCATTTTGTTCTCTTAATAAGGTCCTCTATCAATATTAATTTGACTATTGGAATATTAGACTATTCGAATATTCGACTTTTTGACTACATATTCGAATATTCGACTATTCGATTAGTCGAATATTCGACTATTCGATTATTCGACTATTCGAATATTCGACTATTCGAATATTCGACTATTCGAATTATTCAACTATTCGAATAAAATACCAAACGACTATTCGAATACTTGAATTTTAAAAATTCCGAGCCCTACCAAAAACACACTTTTATGTACCATCGTCACCAAAAGTAACTGGGACAGCATCATGTTAGCTCTTGTTCTATTATATGATTTTAGGTGTCAAATATTTGTTAAATTATGAATTAAATGCATTGAAATGAATGACAGTAGACTTAGTCCAGGAGATTAATATAAATTATTTTTGTCCCAGATACTTTTGGTGACGATGGTACTTACAGTTCATTTTTTCTCAAGATAGATTGTGACATTGTCAACTTTGAAACATAAACAATTCCGCTTATTGGTCGCAAGATGTCATGCATTGTAAAACTGATATCAATTTGCAGGGACACTTCATTTTGCGACCAATTAGGGCTAAGCGGTATTGTTTATGTTTCAAAGTTTTCAATGTCAAAATCCATATTGGGAAAAAATACACCATAGTTTAGTAAAATTTTCTATTATTGGACTGACTGAAATGTCAAATTCAAACCTCGATTCAAAATTTATCTTGGTACGAACCAGAGATGTACTGACAATGTTTCCATTAGTAAACAGGTACTTGGTACTTTATAGGTATACAATGCCAATTAAATTGCTATTTATATAACAAGTATTTATATAGGTAAAATAAGGCCTTATTATACATATAATTAACATTAACAATTGAGCTTGTTTATGTAAGTGTTATGCTTTTTTTACCTTGTCAGTTGTCAGGTAGCCAAACGTAAAAATTGTTGTTTTGTTATTTGTCATTGACAATTACTTTATTTTACTAGTAAAATACAGTGCTACTTTATTGATGCAAAACTGTCCTATAACTAGTAGCAATATATTTGTCAATCAGACATAAAATACATTGAGTATTATACTAGGAGCATTATCATTTCAAAACAACAGTATGAAATTGAAATACAATATTGTTTGTTATTCGTTCGGGAAACTTTTCAGAGTATTTGTTTCAAAATTGCGGACTTGACGTACTTGTTTTTTTTTTCCGGACCGATAATGTAAATATATGTACCTATCTATTGACTTTCCCCAAAATCAATATTTTACCTATGTTTTTCTTTATTTTTTCCAAACAATTACCTACTTAGGTAAATCAACTTGTTTTTGAATACGATGTTAAATTTAGCACATTGAATCATTTTCTAAATTGCATTTTCAGATTTTAGAGGGAAAAAATTAAGTAAATAAAATCTCTATCTTAGATTTGCCCAAAAATACAGGGAAAGTAAAAAACATTTGCGTCTGTTCAGTCTTTGTTGGATGACCCTGCACTTTATATTATAGAGAAAAATGAGCTGGTTAATATATTTTTTTTAACTGCAAAGTTTTTACCTCGGTTTTTACCTATAATCAACGCTATAATGCTAATTTTTGAAAATATAATTTTAAGAAATATTCCGAGAAATATTCTAAAAGCAATATTCTTGAAAGTTTTCTTGAAAATTCCAAATAAATAAAACTTGGTACTTATTACCTATCCTCATACTTAAATCAAATAATAATAGAAAGAAAATAGGTTCCAAATTGAAAGTATGAAGAAGAAAGCATTAACAATTCTCATTCACTGTAAATCAAGCTGTCAATAGTGGGAAAATTATAAGTCACACAATAATGGAAGAACAATAGCATAACAAACTTGTTTTAATGAGGCACTTAAGAAATCTTTAGAGACTGATTTCAGATTGGAATTTTTTCAATGTTTAACCTATAGAATTTCAAGTAGAATTTTTATACCAAGAATTTGCATTATGCTAATTTATATGAGTTTTAATTTTATTTGAAGCTTTAAATAAATGTATTACGTCAAATTCGAGAATTTTGCATGTATCAGGCTTCAAGGGTGATTAACTATCTAAAATTGGTTGAAAAATTCATGTGAAGTAACAACAAGCTTGTTTTTCTTTCATTACTATGTTAACTTGTTATCCAACATGTTAAGGAATTAAGTAGGTAATAACAGTCGAGTGCCTGTATCCTATCAATCAATAATCAGGTTTTTACCGAGGTTTTTACTCTGGTTTTCATAACAAATACTGTCTCTTAAAATAAACTATGTATATTCTTATAATTCTTACCTGCTGCATATTTGCTGCTACAATGCTGGAAAGTATTAATAGTCACATAATCGCCTTCCATACAAAACAACGAGGGATACTGAATGAGAAACTTTTTGAGCCCACTTTGAGAGCCTCCAGCGATTTGCCTCATTTCTTTGGTAAATCCTTTAGAGCCGAATTGGCAGCTCAAATCGTGCAATGTACGGGGCTCACCTTTATCCAGAAGACGTTCGAAGAAAAATAATAGGGTCTTGTTACGGGCTAATTCGTATTGCATTGCTTCCATGGCTTATGTTTTCGTTTTATTGCCTTTCCAATTTAGAATTTATGGTTTCTTGAAGTTACTTTTTGGAGGACTTGTTTTCAATTTAATGTTTACATATGTATTTTTGTATTTTGTTTGTTTATTGCTTCTTGTTTTACTTTTAATTTCAACTTGATTAGGTTTCCTTATGTAATTACTAATTAAATAAAAAGTGTCTTGATTAAATACTTGTAGGAAAAAAATCCTGTGCCTGGTCTGTTCTAGTTGCTTACAAAATTGGTTTTTGGAGTAGATTGCAGAATATCAGTTGATTTTTACACACACAAACACTGGACACATAATTTAAAAAGGGTTTTAATAAATTTTAACAACAAAACAAACAAAAATATTAAAAGAATTCGAAAAACTCCCCAGCCCTGCTTAGAACGTCAAAATGGCTCGCGCCATTTTGAATTCCTTCGTTGCCGCGTTGCCAGACTTAAACTTTTGCCAACAAAATTTCTTTTTCGACTGCTACCGTCATGTGTAAAACTGTAAAAGTAAACGATGGAAAACCTTTATTTCACTGATAATGCAAAAACAGAAAATATTTTCGTTAAAAAAAACAATAATAAATAGTTGCTGTTGGCTTATTCAGAAATTAAACATTTTCATCCAACATAGGTAATTTGCAATGTACTGACTATTCACTATAATTGGCAACAGTGCTCTAAATTGACAGTTGCTCGCCTGGTGACTGGATTACAATCGACCAATCAAAGCCGTTCGTTCCCATGGTATCTATTCACTATTCATCAGAATGTATTCTCTCTCAATGGGGAACTTTTACTATGGCCCACTGTAGAATATTAATTATGCTAATTCAATTGAAAAAAATGAAAAAATTTCACTTTTGCAATTTTGCATGCCATGCAGGAATTATTGGCACATGTCCATCCATTGCAAGTGCAATGAAGTCATTAATTTTTTTTTTTGAGTAAAAATAGGCCTTGGAGTTCGTAAATTCTATTTTAAAATTGAATAAAACTGGTTTGGGTATTAGAAAATACTTTTATTAATGGAAAAAGGTACAGAGTACCATGGGCGTCGTTACGAGGTTTCTCAGGGGGGGGCAGTATTATAATAAGACCATTTCTATTAGCGCCGCAGGCAACCGCCGTAGGCTAATTTTTTTTTGGTGCCACGCCCCTTTTTGGGCATTTTAACGTACTTATTTGATATCGATATTTGTTAAAAATGATGGTATTTTTTTCCGCAACAAATTCACTGTCCGCATCATTTGTTTAGGTAATTTTCCAATGGCCGGTATTATAAAAGCACTGAATCGATGATTGAGTTTCAACCTTCGGTTGACTCCATGCAAATTGATAGGATTCAACCGAAGGTTGGAACATGGAACTCTACCATCGGTTCAGTGTTTTATAATACCGGCCCTAAGTCAAGTGAAATTCAATTCCGTTGAATGCAATGAAAATGTCAGCCAATTTTTCAAAGTACAGTAGACTCGTGCTAGTGTGAACACAAAAAAAACCGGACGTGTTCATATAATCGAGACGTTTACACCATCGGAGGTCTACCTAAAAATGCAAAATATTGTCAGCAATGATCTCTAAACTTAAAATTCAAGAAAAATTAATACCATAGGTACTTGCAAATCTATTCATTAAGTAAATTTTCCCAGTTTTTTGCGATTAAAGTGAGATGTAATTTTTGTCTAAATGGATCTACCTGATCATTGGCTGGCTACGTGTACTTACTTTGTCTTAAAGTTTCTTAGGCCTTCTGTGTCATTAGCGCGAATATATGCTATTGCCTTGCTGGCAATCTTCTAGAATTTTTGACTTCTCATAAAGTCTGTTCTCACAAAACTGTCAGTAACAATCGCTCAGCTAAGTAACTGAGTTATCTTGGAATGACGGCATTGAAAACATGCATGGGCGATGCATTCTGTCAGTTTGCAAACTGTCAGAAACTCTTGTGAGAACAGACCCATAGAGAGTTGAAAAAATTGTGTTTTTCGCCATTTTTACAAAACTGATTAACCACAACAAACAACGAACTGAAGATTTATAGAATTTTGAACGTGCTCTTGACGCGCTGCCACTTGCGTATTCCACATTAGAGTGAATGCAGTAACTCAACATATCTGTGCATTCCTTGTCTCAAAACCTTCGGGGAACCCCATAATTGGATAGAAACAATCGATAAAAACAACCAAGTAGACAGAAAACGGTTAAATTCGTAGTCAAATAGTCAAATACATTGTTCATACTACCGATATTCTCAAAAGTTCACACTACAGAATACGTATAATGTATTCATTCTGGCTGTTCATACTACTGGGAGGTTCACAGAAGCGTGTGTTCACACTAGCACGAGTCTACGACGAGTCTACTGTACCTAACAAATTTTGAAAAAATGGAGAAAAGAAATATGAAAACGAACTTTCTTTTACTGCTTTCTTGTTCAAAAGACTATTTCTAGGGGGGGCAAATGCCCCCCCTTGCCCCCCCAAACGACGCCCATGCAGAGTACAGTACACACAAACATAAGTAGGTATTATGCCTATATACCTAAGTTCATCAATTAGTAGGTATGTCGCCTTTCAAATGTAAATCATTAATTAAATTCTAATTGTTTCAAATAGGTACAGTTGCGATCAAAAAAAAGTATTACAAGAAAAATCCCCAAAATCTCCTGGTCTATTATACATTAATTGAATTCATAACCAAAAATGACATATTTTTGGCATTTTTCGACTAGTTTCTAACCTAGGAGGCTTCAGATGACATTACTTTGGCATTTTTCTTCCCATTTTTAACCTAGAATATATCATTGCCTGTTTATTTACTGTCAAAATTTTGTATATTACACCGAGTGTTACACCGGGAGCTCAAATTGGAGTTAATAATTTATACTTTTTTTTTATCGCAACTGTACAGGGTTTTGGAGGGTTCCGGGTATTTCTAGAGGAGTTATAAAAAATCTGACCCCCACTTGCGAGCCTCAATTTTCAAGAGAAATTGACTGGTGAAAACCGCATCTCGATATGTCGAGTCGTTTTCAAGTTACGAGGGGTTTTTGAAAAGTTTGCAGTTTGGCAGGGGGTCTATAACTTTTTTATTTATGAAAATTTGGCAATCTTGTAAAAGACTTTTTAATAGATTTTTTTACGTAGAATTCTATGTTGCAATTTATTTTTATCTATCTCATCTAGTTTCCGAGATATTACACGAAGTGTGTATTCTTCTTATGGAGTGGCCCCTGTATTATTGAATTTTTCAAATCAGCATTAAATTTCCTTTAAATTGGTTTTTTGGACATGAATTTTGCTTTAGTAGTTCCAGAGATATTTTATTGTTTTCGTTTTCTACATAGTAGGCCTTGTGATTTGCCAGATTTATCATTTGTGTGTGGTCATAAATACGAATATAGTATCCTACTATCACTCTGAGAAAATCTGGTGGTTTAATTGAATCCCATCTAGGGCCGGTTTCTCAATAGCAAGAGCAAGTCAAGCCCAGGTTAAGTATAACTCCAGGGTAAACATTGCAACTGGACACGTCTACCCTGGAGTTAAAATCAACCCGGAGATGACTCGCTATATTTTCTACGAGTGGATTTGGTTTTGGGTCTGTTGGGTTAATTATGTCCTAATTAAGAAGTTTGTCCGGGTCTAACCCAAACTAACTCAAAAAAATGGCGCCCACATTTACAGAAAAAAGCAAACTTAATCAGTAGATAATCAAAGGGGGTTCTAGCACAAAAATCCGACCATAACCTCAATCTTTCATTCTTGACACGTGGTGGATGCGCCGCCGTTGACACGAAGGTGGATGCATCGTCGGCGCCATCTTGTCAAACGTCATGGCGCCATCTAGCGTACATAGTGTGAAGTTCGTAATACAGGATGCTGTAGTTGGGACCCGTAGGGCTCCGCCCTCCAAAAAGGGGGCCCGCAGGGCTCTGCCTCCCCCCAAAAAGGGGGCCCGCAGGGCTCCGCCCCCCAAAAAGGGGGCCCACAGGGCTGCGCCCCCCAAAAAGGGGCCCCCGGATTTTAATATGGGTACCAGAAAAAGGGGTGGGGGGGAAATGTTTTCCCGCCATCTTGTCAACCGTCACCTGTCAAACGTCATCTGTCAAAAGTCACCTGTCAAACGTCATCTGTCAAACGTCATCTGTCAAACGTCATGACGTCTTAGCGGGAGTTTTGAGTCGTTCCGGGTTGTGTGATGACGTCATAGCGCCCTGGGTCACGTCCGTGGAGTCACTTAGAGTACATAGTGCAAAGTTTGATTCAGGGTTCGGGTTCTGTGATGACGTCATAGCGACCTGGGTCACGTCCGTGGAGTCATTTAGAGTACATAGTGCAAAGTTTGATTCATGGTTCGGGTTCTGTGATGACGTCATAGCGACCTGGGTCACGTTCGTGGCGCCATTTAGAGTACATAGTGCGAAGTTCGTTTCATGGTTCTGTGATGACGTCATAGCGACCTGGGTCACGTGGGTTACGTCAGTGCGGGTCCGTGGCGCCATTTAGAGTACATAGTGCAAAGTTCGATTCATGGTTCGGGTTCTGTGATGACGTCATAGCGACCTGGGTCACGTCCGTGGCGCCATTTAGAGTACATGTGTCAAGTTTGATGTGTCTTATAACAGGATGCTGTGGTGGTGACGTAACTATGAGGGTCCAGCAGCTAGCTTCATGTTGTACCTGGTAGAGGGTGTTCGAACTTAAGGATGATACACACCTACAGGATTGCTCATTGACCTCGTGTGTTACCATTTACGACGCCATAACTAAGTCATCAGCTGTTTAAACAACCTACTTCAAGGCGAGAAATAACATGCTGCTTACGTCACAACTGGTGATTTAACGTTGGGGAGAGAGTGGATTTGTTCCACACAGGCCTTATGAGGATAGGCTATCCTGTAGTAGTAGTGTGTATTATCCTTGGTTGGAACCAACATTTGATGGGGAAGGGGCCTCGTTTTTTTTTTAATTAAAAACATACATTTTTTAAGACAACGATTGCAAAAAGCGAATATTTTCCATCAATAAACTGCTTAATATGATCCAATCATTTTGGTGGTACGTCTTGGGAGCAACACTGCGTTGTCGTCAAATTCAACGAGTATTTCAAATCCATAGCTAAAAATATGCCACAATTGTATCGATTACCTAAGTATATAAGATATTTACTTACTAGGTTAAAATAATAATTTCTGTACAATAGTTTTATGATCTACCTTAATTTGTATAGTTTATTGGTTCCAGTAAAGATTTGCAATTATTTTGAGGTCTCTATCGTAGAAAATATTGGGAACTTTCACTTTATACCAGGACTTATAATTTTCTCAGCGTTTTTGATCCTTTGTTATAAAAAGACAGGCCTTGTTGATTGATTTCAAATCCATATCTAAAATATTCCATAATT